GAAAACCCGTCTCTCTCGGATCAAAACTAGCACTTTTGGTGCTTGCCGTCCTCATTGTCTTCATGATGCGGCGGCACGCGCCGGCCCGGTACCGCATGCCCACGGCCAGGAGTATGGAGCCCGCGACGTCGTCGATTTTGGACGCGGGGCTCGCCGCGAAGAGCCTCGCGAGCGTCGCCGGCGTCGCGGGCGTCTCGACCTCCAAGAAGTGCTGAAAAGGTGCAGCTCTCACAACGATGGCATCGACCGCCGCCAAGCGGCTCCTCGTGCTGAATCCGAACACGTCTTCAGCCTTCACGGAGAAGATCGCGCGCGTCGCGGCGCGCTGCGCCATCCCCGACGCCGTGGAGATCGAGACGGCGCAACCGAAGACGGGCCCGCGCTCCATCGAGAGCGTCTACGACGAGCTGCTCTCATCCGTGCCGAGCCTCGAGGCCTTCCTCGAGCGCGCCGCGCGGCGGCGCATCGACGGCGTCGTCGTCGCGTGCTTCTCGGACCACCCCGTGCAGCAGGCCCTGAGGGAGGTCGGCGGCCGCGCGGCCGTCGTCGGCCTCCTCGACGCGTCGCTCGCGGCCGCGAGCCTCGCGGGCGACCGCGTCGGCATCGTGACGACGTCCGCGGGCTGGGAGCCGCTCCTCCGGAGCGGCGTCGACCGCCTCGGCTACGGCGACCGATGCCGATCGATCGTCGCCGTCGGCGCGCCGGTCCTCGCGCTCGAGGGCGACGACGACGAGCTCGCGAGCCGCGTCTGCGAGGCCGCGGCGCGCGTCGCGGCGTCGAGCGACGTCGTGATCCTGGGCTGCGCGGGCATGGGCCCGCTGGCGACGCGCGTCGAGGCGGCGCTCGGCGGCGCCGCGGCCGTCGTCGAGCCCGTCGAGGCCGCGGTGCGCGCGTGCGCGAGCCTGGCGCTGCAGGGCCTCGGCTCGTCCGCGGCGCGCCCGCTGTTCCAGCACCACGCGGGGCCCCTCAGCCCGCTCCTCGCGGGCGCCTACGCGAGCCGCGGCGCGGCGCCGGAGGCGCCGTCGCCGGAGGCGCCGTCGCCGGCCGTCGACGGCCACGCGCTCTCCTACTACGACGACGACGCGTCTCCTACGGCGCCGTCGACGCCGCCGCCGACGACGAGGCCGCCGCCGTCGATGCCGCCCGGCCTCGACGACGGCGGTGACGTCCTCCTGTCCTTCGACGACTACGTCAACCCGCGGAGCTAGGTCGCTACCGGTTATGGTAGAGCCGCGGCCGGTTGCCCTTGAGCCCCGTCGTCGTGCCGACGTAGGTCCAGTTGCCCGCGACGCGCTTCTTGCACATGCACGCGTGCTTGTTGGCCATGGCGCACTCCCACTCGTCGCCGCGGACCTCGTAGCGGCACGCGCCCGACGCGAGGCTGCAGGCGTAGAGGACGTCGGCGTCGGCCGTCGCGTCGCCGCCGGCCGCGGACGCGAGGAGCGTCGCCGTGCCGTCGTAGCGGTCCGCGCCCGGCTCCGGCGGCGGCGGCGGCGCGACGATCCGCCGCGTCGCCATGAGGAAGACGACGAGGGGGAGGCCGTCGCCCGGGAGGTCGCCCTCGCCGCAGCCGTCCTCGCCGCCGTCGTCGACGCAGAAGGCGAAGAGGGGCCGCACGCGGAGCAGGTTCGCGTGGAGGTAGGCCCAGTCGTAGGCCGCGAGCACCTCGGGCAGGCGGCCGACGTCCGCCTCGGCGATCTCGACGGAGAAGGCGCTCCAGTCGAGGACGGTGGCGTAGGGCGGCGCGAGGCTCGGGCTCAGGAAGCAGGGCACGCAGCCGAGGGCGACGGCCTCGGAGAGCCGCGGGCTCCAGGGCGAGAAGCCCTCGGTGACGACGCAGTACTTGGCGCGCCGCATGCTCTCCGTGTAGTTGGCCTTGGCCATGAGGAAGCGGACGTCGACGCGCGGGTCCAGCGGCGGCGGCGCGCGCGCGACGCCGCGCTTCGCGCGGAGCGGGCCGCCGGGGTCCCAGGCGTCCGTGAGCGCGCGCCGGAGGTCGTACTCGAGGCCGCCCGCGCGGCCCTCGGCGGCCATGACGAGCGTCTCCTTGCGCGCGTCGGCGTCGAAGAGCGCGAGCAGCTCCGCGCCGCTCCGGCCGGGGGCCCGCGCCCGCCGCCGCCGCCGCCGCAGGAGGAGCGCGGGCGGCGGCAGCGCGACGTCCTTGCGCTCGTCGAAGCACCGGATCTTCGGCGCGGTGTCGCGCGTCGCGGGCGCCTTGTACTGCGTCGGCCGCAGCAGGTGGTCCGCGAAGCGCGCCTCGCGGAAGAGCCAGGGCCCGTGGCGCTTCTCGCCGACGTGGCCCAGGAAGTGGTGCGCGAGGAGCCCCGGGTCGCGCGCCTGGCCGCCGTCGCAGCAGCCGCCGCGCGACGACGCGGCCGTGAACCAGAACGACGCGCCGCCGTCGCGGCCCCAGGTCGCCGACGACGCCGCGACCTTGGCGCGGCACCAGCTCAGCGCGTTGCGGTCGTTGCGCCGGCTCTGGTACATGACGACGGTCGCGTCCGCGTCGCGGGCCTCGGCGGCCGTCCGCGCGCCCCAGCGGCTCCGCGCCTGGGCGGGACGAGAGAGGCTCGACGTCGCTCCAATGTTGGGTGTTCCGCGCGCGCGCGACTCCATGAAAAGCATCCAGGCTTCGAGACCGTTCCGAGAGATGATCGCTCGTCCAAAAATCAGCCAAAACGAGCGGGAAACGGCCGAGAGAGACGTCGGGAACGTCGCGCTCGTTTCCCGCCCGGCTCCGCGCGAGCGCGAGGGGCAGCCAGACCTCCGTGCTCCACTTGCCGTGCGTGAGCGCGAAGGCCTCGGGGTTCCACCACGGCGCCGCGCGGTCGTCCCACGCGAGGCCGCTCGAGCTCCAGGACCCGGGCCGCAGGGCGCCGTCGACGCACTGCGCGCGGCGGGGGGGGAACGCGGGCGTCGCCTCTCCCGCCGCGGCGCGCGCGGCGGACGCGGCGGCGCGTGCGCTCGGGTCCAGCGCGATGCGGTAGCGCTCGCTCGCGCCGCCGGGCGCGAAGAAGGCGAGCAGCGCGTCCCAGGCGCCGGGCAGCGCGACGGGCTCGAGCTGGCGCAGGCTCGCCGGCAGCCAGTCCGGCGCCGCGGCGCCGGCGACGCGCACCGCGACGACGAAGCGCAGCCACGAGGTCCGCATGCAGCACGACGAGCAAGCGTAATCACGGCGACGCTCGACGATGATGGGCGCCCGTCATCACGCGCAGCCCATCAATTTCTGTTTCAACTTTAGCAAGTTGCTTGGCTCGTCCGTCCTGCTGACGTGCTCGACGATCCGGACGACGGCCTTGTCGTCACGCCAGGATAGCCGCCGCGCCAGCGCGATCCGACCAGGCGCACATCCGGCAACCACCATGTACGGCTTGGCCTCCGCCGCAGAGGGCCGCACGGGAGCCTCCACATCTCGGGCCAAGGCGTCGTGAAGCTGTGCGATGGTTGTACGATACCGAAATTACAATCGTGCTTAAGGCCGCCAGTACAAGGCGCCGTTCCGGGTGAAGCAGCGAGGCGCGCTCTCCGTCGTGGACCTCGATGAAGACGTCGTCGCGTTCGCGCGGAACCTCTCGAAACGGCCCAAGTACACGTCGGGCAAGAAGAAGGGCAAGTACATCGAGAAGAGCTTCTACTCCCCGCACACCTGCCTGAACGCGGCGGCCAAGAAGGAGGTGCTCGACGGGCTGCCGGAGTACGTGAAGGAGGCCGTCGAGCGCGCCATGGCTCGCATCGACAAGGACAAGGTCACGCGCGCGTTGGTCGACACGTTCGTGGAGGGGTCCGCGCCGAAACACGTCGACAGCCTCATCACGATGAAGCTCGCGGTCCGCGGCGGGCGCGTGATTCAGGTGTACATCTCGCAGCGCGTGCTCGACTCCCTCGTCGACGAGCTCGGCGACCTCTACGTGGGCTCGCCGCACCTCGACGCCGTGATCAAGGCCCTCTACGCGGACACGACCAAGTTCTACTCGCTCGCGCTGGGCATCGTGCCCGGCAAGCTGGCGGACACGGTCGAGAACGACTGCATCAAGATGGCGAAGGAAGAATTCGGGTTCAAGGTCTGCGCGCAGAGCAGCCGACTAGACGGCAGAATCAAACCGAAGCGCGGCGAGAAGAAGCCCGCCGGCTTCGGCGCGGTCGTGGCAGCGGGCATAGCGCGCAACAAGAAGGAACCGAAGGACCAGAAGCTCAAGTGCCCCAGCGGATGCGGGGTAGTACCCTTCTTCAACCTGGCCGCTCTGTCGAGACATCTGAGCGCGTGCACGGGTCCCAATTTCTGGACACGCAAAGCTGCGTGTCGGGCTCGCTCGCGCGCCGCGACGCGCGCGAAGAAGACGGGCAAGCCCATCGAGAAGATCCCGAAGAAGTGGCGATCTTGGCGCCGGGAGCACTTCGTCCGGCGCAAAACTTATCCTCTGAGGGCGAAGCTCGCAGTGTCCAAGAAGGCGAAGCTCGTAGCGTCCAAGAAGCCCAAGTCCAAGGCCGCGAAGAAGGCCGCCGCGAAGAAGAAGGCCGCCGCGCTCAAGGCCGCCGCCAAGCCCGCGTCCAAGAAGCCCGCGTCCAAGCCCGCGTCCAAGCCCGCGTCCAAGAAGCCCGCGTCCAAGGGCTCCAAGAAGTCCGCGAAGCCCGCCGCGAAGAAGCCGACGGTGACGAAGTCCGTGTCCCAGAAGCCCGCGGCCAAGGCGCCCTCCAAGAAGGCCATCAAGGAGCAGAAGCGCCAGGCCAAGGAGGAGCAGAAGCGCCAGGCCGCGGAGAAGAAGGCGAAGAAGGCGAAGAAGCGCGTCCACGACAGCGACGACTCGAGCGTCGGCGAGGACGACTTCGACAAGCAATTCGCCCCGGCCAAAAAGAAGGCCAAGAAGGTCCAGTTCAAGGTGCCCTCGCCGTTCGACGAGGACACGGACTAAGACGACGACCACGACCACGAAGACGACGACCACGACCACGAAGACGACGACCACGACCACGAAGACGACGACCACGACCACGACGGCCCGCGCGCGCGCGTCCGACCCAACACAAGGTCCGATCGTATGGCGAGTAGGAGCGTGTGGGGTCGTAACAAAAGACGAGTTAGGCGCATTTCGGGCAGCGCATCTCGGCGACGCAGCGCGAGCAGCGGCAGAGGAACCCGTAGTCCGCGAGCGCGGCGCGGCGCTCCTGCCAGGGCGCGTCCGTGTCGACGTAGGCGATCGTGAGCTCGTCGCCCGCCGCGACGGCCCGCCGCGCGACGAGCGACGCGCGGAGCGGCGCGCCGAAGCGGCCGGGCCCGGGCTCGCCGCCGGGCTCCGAGGGGGCCGCGTAGAGCACGTCGCAGCTCTGGTCGCAGGCGTGGTTCGCGCAGCAGATCGTCGAGTAGAGCGCCGTGCCCTCGAGGGGCGGCATGCCGTAGGCGCCGCCGCCGCCGTCGTCGGTGCCGTCGCCGTCGTCGGTGTCGGCCGTCGCGTCGTCGTCGGCGTCGCCGTCGTCCGGCGGCGGGCAGCCCGCGAGCGCGAGCTGCGCGCGCAGCGCCCGCTCGTCGGCGCCCTCGACGCGCGCGAGCTCGTCGCCGTCGCGGAGGAGCACGAACGTCGGGAGCGCGCCGGCCTCGAAGCGCGCCGCCGCGTCGGGGACCTCGTCGACGTCGACGGCGACGAAGCGCGCCTCGGGCAGGGCCTCGGCGAGGGCGGCGAAAGCCGGCGCCATCGCCCGGCAGGGCGCGCACCACGCCGCGGAGAACTTGACGACGGCGACCGCGCCCGGCGCCGCCGCCAGCCGGTCGACGTCCTCGAGCGACGCCGCGCGCGCCACGGCGCCCCCGTCCTCCGCCTCGTCCTCGTCGTCGTCGTCGTCGTCGTCGTCCTCCGCCTCGTCGTCGTCGTCGTCGTCGAGGGGGTGGCGGAGGCGCACGCCGACGTTGTTCTGCTCGAAGGTGCCGACGATCCTCGCGAGCCACTCGGGCGTGACCTGGGCAGCACGAGGGTGATTCAACGTCGCTTCAACGTGAGTGTTCCGCGCGCGCGCGTTCCGGAAACAGCATCCACGCGTCGAGGCCGTTCCGAGAGATGATCGCTCGTCCAAAAATCAGCCGAAACGAGTGGAAAATGGCCGAGATAGGAGAGTTGGGCATGTCGCTCTCTCGTGCTGCCCCGACCACGACGTCGGCCGCGTTGGCGAAGCCCCGCGCGGCGAGCGCGTCGCGCAGCAGGGGCGCGGCGTCGCCGCAGAGGCGGCGCAGCGCCTCGCCGAGGAGCGCGCCGTCGCGCGCGTCGTCGCCCCGGAGCGCCGCGGCGTCGGCGACGACGCGGTCCCAGGGCACGCGCGTGAACGGGAGGAACGCGGCCGCCGCGGCGCCGTCGGCGAGCGCCGCCGCGACGACGTCCGCGGCCAAGAACAGGATCTCGTTGCTCTCCGTCGCGAGGATCTTGTAGCGCACGAGCGGGTCCGCCGCCGCGTCGGCCTCGGCGACGGGGCCGACGCAGAGCGCGCGGTGGCACCGGCGCCGGTGCGCGTCGCGGCACGCCGCGGAGCAGTAGAGCTCGCCGCAGCCGTCGGCGCAGCGCGCGACGGGGCCGCCGCCCCGCGCGACGGCGGCGTCCGCGGCGACGCGCGGCGACGCGCCCGCGGCGACGGCCTCGAGCAGGTCGCGGCCGAGGTCCAGGAACGCGAGGCACTCGCCGCAGACGAGCGCCGCGTGGCGGTTCGCGAGGTCCTGCATGGCGACGAGCGGCGCCTCCACGAGGATCGTCTCGCCCGCCGCGAAGTCGCGCGCGGCGAAGAGGCCGCGGCCGTGGAGCGGCGACCGCTCGACGCGCACGCCGGACATGTCCGTGGCGTCGGTCGCGTCGGCCGCTTTCGACGTGTCGAGCAGCGCCGCCATGGTCACGCTATCGAGCGACTGCGTCGTCGTTTCCACGAGCGCGGCCATCGATCGTTCGGAGCGTCAACAACCATGCTCGTGAATGTCGCCAAGGCCGCAGAATGAAGTCAACGAGGACGACAACTTTGTCCTCGACATCGAAGAGTTGCACGTAGTTGCGAGAGCTGGTCTGAGGCTGGTCGGGTCGCTTCGGATCCTCGGGGCAGCCCTCACGACCGACGATGGACGTCCTCGCCCGCGCGTCGTCCTGCCTCCCGAGCTTCATGGTCTGCACGAACCAGACCGACGACGCCCCCGTGTGCTGCGCCGCCGAGGAGGACGACTCGCTCGAGGGCCTGGCCGGCCGCAAGGCGTCGCTCAGCGCCGCGCAGACCGACCGCGTGCGCGGGCTCATGGTCGAGCGGCGCGCGTCGGAGGCGGAGGCCGCGCCGCCGCCGGCGGAGGCCGCGCCGCCGGCGGAGTCGCCGCCGGCGAAGCGAGCCGACGCGCGGCCGTCGTGGCTCGCGGAGGTCACGGGCCCGTCGCTCTGGAACCTCTTCGCGTCGGCCGACGACGAGCCCGACGAGCCGGCGGTCGTCGTCGCGCCCGCGGACCCGCCGCCGGCGGCGACGCCCGCGCCGGTCGCCGGCCAGTCGCTCCGGAACCTCTTCGCGTCGCCCGACGACGACGCCGCGCCGGCGCCCGCGCCGGAGCCCGCGCCGGAGCGGACGCCGGCGCAGCCCGAGGAACCCGCCGAGCCCGCCTACCGCGTCCTCCACGACCTCTTCGGCGGCCCGAAGGACGCGCCGCCGCCCGAGGCGACGCCCGACGCCGACGCCGAGCCCGCGGGGTCCAAGGTCTGGGTCTGACCGTCCGACGCCCCCCCGCGGTCGTATAGACGGCGATTAGGAGGGGCGCGCGCGCCGCGTCGCCGCGCGCGGATAAAGGAGGGAGGGGCCTACGCCGTCGGCTGGGCCGCGGGCGCGTCGCCCGCGGGCCGCGGCGCGGCCGCGGCCTGCCCCGGCGGCGTCCTCGGCGCGGGCGTCATCTTGCAGATGCGGCCCTGCTTCGTGCCGTAGACGATGCCCGCGCCGGGCACGGGGTGGAACCGCGCGATGTTGACGTCGTCGCCGACCTCCTTGCGCGTGTCGACGCGGACCATGTCGCCGACGCGGTACATCACGGAGACGACGCGGGGGACGCCGTCGCCGAAGGTGCCGTCGCCGCCGCGGCTGTGGCCCAGGAGCACGAGGGACGCCGTCGGCGACAGCTTGACGGACGTGACGATGTCGGATCCCGCCGTCTCGCCCGCGGCGCCGGAGAAGGAGTGGTCATCGAGCGCGGCGGCCTGGAGCAGGGCGCCCTCGCCGTCGTCGGCGGCGTCCTCGAGGGACACGACGACGAGGTGGGGCTTGTAGCGGCCCTTGAGGCGCTGGCGGCCGCCCGGCGAGCCCGCGCGGTCCGCGGGGGCGACGGCGCCGTCGCGGCCGCCCGGCGACGCGCTGTCGCCGGACTCGTCGCCGTCGCGGCGCCGCGGCGGCGTCCGCGGCGCGCCGCGGCCGAGCCAGCCGCGCGCCCCGCCGCCGCGCGCGTAGACGCGCCACCAGGGCAGCAACGGCGCGTCGCGGCGCGGCCGCGCGCCCGGCGACGCCGGCGCGGCCGGCGCGCGCGCGCGCGCGCGCGCGGCCGCGGACGAGAACGACGGCAGGGGCCACGCGGCGGCCGCCGCGGCGCGCGCGGCGCCGCCCGCGAGGCGCCGCGGCGGCGGCGGCGGCGGCGCGTCGCCGCGCGGGTGCCGCGGCGGCGGCGCCGGCGGCGCGTCGCCGTCCGGCGGCGCGTCGCCGTCCTGGTCCGCGTAGGGCAGCCACAGCTCCGCGCAGGAGCAGAGGAAGCGGCCGCAGGGCGACACGTCGAAGCCGCCGTCGTTGTAGAAGAGCGCGCGCCGGAGCACGCACCGCGGCCGGCGGCTCACGGCCCGGCCGCTCCCGGCCACGGGCGCGAGCAGGGGCGGGTCGCCCGCGGCGTCCTCCGTCGGCCCGCGGACGCTCGTCGGCGACGACGGCGAGCCGCCGCCGGCCGGCGCGCCCGCGTCCGCGCGCGCGGCCTCGACGTCGAAGTCGCAGAGCATGAGCTGGAAGGTGATGCGCGGCGCGTCGCCCTCGTTGGCGCCGTTGTTCGCCGCGCCGACGATGATCGCGTCGCGGCTCGGGAGGAACCGGAGGCACCGGATCGGGTGCGGGTGCGTGAACTCGCGGCGCGGCGCCGCCCCCGTCGCGTAGTGCCAGAGGTAGATGGACGTGCCCGCGGCGACGGCGAGGATGTCGCCCGCCGGGTGGAAGCTCAGCGAGATGATCGCGCGGTCGAACTCCGCGCGGCGGACGCACCGCCGCTCCCGCGCGTCCCAGACGCGCGCCTCGAAGCCCAAACAGCCCGACGCGACGACGTCCGGGAGGAACGGGTGGAACTTGACGGTCCAGGGCGTCCGCGGGTGGCCCACGAGCGTCGCGGCCACGCGCCCGGACTCGAAGTCGACGACCTTGACCGTGTGGTCGCCGTGCGTGCTCGCGAAGCGCTTCAGGTCGGGAGAGAACGCGACGGAGATCGTCGACTTCGTCGTCGGCGGCAGCGCGAGGTACTCGGCGCGGCAGTGGGACGCGCAGCGCAGCTCGCTGAGCTCGCGCCGGAAGATGCGCTCCGCCTGCTGGCGCCAGGCCTGGCACACGACGAGCGCGCCTGCGGGGGGGGGGGGGTCGTCCGCGCGCGCGCGGGGGCGGCCCGGGACGCGGGTCGCGTCACCGAGGCCCGCGGGGTAGCCCAGCGCCTCGATGATGAGCGACGGCAGGAACGACGGCATCTCCGGGGTGCCCGGCGCCTCCTCCTCGTCGTCGCACTGCATGCGGTCGTCGTCGTCCTCGAGCGACGCCTTCGTCGTCACGGACCGGGGCGAGGGGCTCATGTCCATCTTCATCGTCGGCCGGGGGTCGTCCGGCGCGGAAGGTCGCGGGGGGCGCCCGGGGTTCGGCTCGCAAGGTCGCGGGGGGCGCCCGGGTCGGCTCGCGGGCCGCGAGAAAGTCGAGTGCTGCCGGCCGCAAACACAGCCGTCGAGTGCCGGCCCGCAACTCTGAGACCAGAGACGGACGCTGCCGCAAATATCGACATCACCACAGTCGTTGGCCATGTCCGGCATGGCCGCGAAGGGCTGCCCCGCGGCGCGCGTCGCCGTCGTCGCGCTCCTCGCGAGCCGCGCGCTCGCCCACGTCGTCTACCCGACGCCGGAGCCGACGCCGGAGCCGACGATGATCCGCACGGAGGTGGGCTACGACTCGAAGACGTGCCGCGGCGGCCTCTGCACGCGCGACGCGACGCGGACCTGCGTCGACGAGTCGCCGGGCTGGGTCTTCACGTTCCCGAGCGGCGGCAACTCGACGTGCTTCGGCCTCTGCTACAGCTCCGTGAACCGCAACATGTTCCACAACCGCACCGCCAAGTTCTCGTGCGAGGTCGCGGTCGACGCCGGCGTCCCGCGGCCGCGACGATGTTCGAGAGATTTTGGGTGGGAAACCAATGAGAACTCCGACCCCGTCGCACGTGGTAGGTCGACACGGACATGGACGCCGCGCTGGCCAAGGGGGGCGTCTGCCGCGCGTGCCGGTCAGGGCAGGACAAGAGAGCGAAATTCCCAACTTCAAAGGCTCCTTTCTCGGCCGTGTTCCACTCGTTTCGGCTGATCTTTGGACGAGCGATCATCTCTCGGAACGGTCTCGAAGCGTGGATGCTTTTCCCGGAACGCGCGCGCGCGGAACGCTCACGTTGAAGCGACGTTGAATCTCCCTTGTCCTGCCCAGGTGCCGGTCGAACTGCTACGAGGCCTGCCTGCCCTTCCCGACCATTCTACCGTCGCCCGTCCCGTCCCAGACCTTCGAGCCCACGGGCGCGCCGACGGCGAACCCGAGCGACGCGCCGACGGTGTCCCCCTACCCGACGGAGGCGCCCACGGACGCGCCCAAGCCCCTGCCGACGATCGTGCCCTACCCGGCGCCGACGCGCGTGCCCTACCCGCGGCCCACGCGCGTGCCCCGGCCCCTGCCGACCTACGCGCCCACGCGCGTCCCGACGGCCGAGCCGACGCCCGCGCCGAGCGACGTGCCCACGTCCCAGCCCTCGCCGCAGCCGTCGGTGACGCCCGCGCCGTCGGCGACCTTCGCGCCGACGGCGACGCCGACGACGGCCGAGCCCAGCGCGTCGCCGACGATCAGCCACCCGCCGACGTCGTGCCCGACCTCCGCGCCGACGTCGGAGCCGTCCGCGGGCCCGACGGCGACGCCCGCGCCCTCGGCCGTGCCCACGTCCGTGCCCACGGGGCGCCCGACCGCGGGGCCCTCCGCGGACCCGACGCTCGCGCCGACCTCCGCGCACCCCTCGGCCGCGCCGACGTCCGCGCCCACGAGCGTGCCCACGGCGCGCCCCTCCGCGGCGCCCTCCGCGGAGCCGACGCTCGCGCCCACGAGCGCGCCCACGTCCGCGCCCACGTCCGGCCCGACGTCCGCGCCGACCCTGGCGCCGTCGACCCTGCCGCCGACCGCGGCGCCGGCGGCCGCGGGCCGGCGCCGGCGCGGCCTCCTCTCCTTCCTTCGGAACCCGTTCCGCCGCGGCCGTTAACGCGGCCGCCGGAGCGACGCCTAACAAAAAAACATCAAACTTGAACCCCGATAAGAAAGGCAGCCCAGCGCGACGATGCTTCGCGCCGCTGCGCTCGCGCTCGGCGCTCTCGGCGTCGCCCAGGAGCTCGAGATCTGGTCGCCGGCGGCCGGGTCCGTGACGAGCGGGCGCGACGTCGACCTCGGCTTCCAGCTCACCCTGCCCGAGGAGACGCCGTCCGACGCCTGCGAGCTCTGCGTGTCCGTCGGCGACGAGGTGCTGACCTGCCAGGGCCTCGAGGTCATGCTCACGGAGCAGCTCGCGCTCCAGGACCTGCTGCCCGGGACGCGCGAGCTCCGCCTGGCGCTCCGCTGCGGCGGCGGCGCCGCGCCGGTCGAGGCGTCGGCGACGGCGGTCTTCGTCGTCGGCGCGGACGCGGCCACGGGCGCCGTCGACGTGGACATCACGGCGGCGCGCGCCGGCGGCGACCCCTGGCGGGCCGCCGTGCCCGGCGCGGCGAACGCGAGCGGCGGCCGCGCGGCCTACTTCTCCGCCGTCTACGACACCAAGTTCTGGTCCGCGCGGGGCTCGATGCCCGGCGTGCCCGGCAGCGGGCCCGGGTCCACGGCGGCGGCGGCGGCGAACGCGCGGGCCGCCGTCGAGGCTCTGGTTTCCGAGCTCGGCGTCGCCGTGGTCCTGGACGCGCCCTGCGGCGACATGACGTGGATGGCCGCCGCGGATCTCGGCGCCGCGCGCTACGTCGGCGCGGACATCGTCGCCGACGTCGTCGCGCGGAACGCCGCGGGCCACGCGTCGCCGGCGCGGCGCTTCCTCGAGCTCGACGTCGCGGACGCGGCGTCGGTCCCCGCGCTCCGCGCCGCGGCCGCGGCCGGGCCCGCGCTCGTGCTCTGCCGCCACCTCCTCTTCCACCTCCCGCCCCGGGACGGCCTCGCCGCGCTGCGCCACATCCACGCCTCGGGCGCGCGCTGGCTCCTCACGTCGACCTACCTCAAGGCCGACGAGCTCGCGCGCGGCGGCGGCGACTTCGTCCTCGCGTCCGGCCACAAGACGAGCCTCCTCAAGCCGCCCTACTGCGCGCGGGACCCGGAGCGCCTCTACCGCGACGCGCCGGACACGCCCGACCAGTACCTCGGCCTCTGGGACCTCGCCAAGGGGCCCGTCGCGACGGGCTGCGGCGACGTCGACGCGGACGACGGGAGTAACGCGGACGGCTAGCACCCGGCGGCGACGTAGCGCGCGACGCGGCGCCGCGCGCGGGTCCAGGCGCGCGCCGCGGCGACGAGCGGCGCCGCGCGCCGCGCGCCGGCGCCGCGGCGCGCGCGCGCGGCCGCGACGAGCGAGTCCGCGAGGCTCGGCCGTCGCGCCGCGACGACGACGCCCTCGCCCGCCTCCGGCCGCCCGACGGCCGGGGGCCCGGCGGCGCCCGCGCGCCGCGGCGGGCGCGCCGCGGCGGCGGCCGAGCGCCGAGGTTTCCGCCCGAGGAGCAGCGCGAGGATCGCGGCGACGATCCGCAGAAGCCCCTGGAACACGTCGACGTCCGTGGTCGACGCATCGGACTCGGTCCTCCAGCGCTTGACCAGCGGGGAATCCGACGCGTCGGGCTCGGTCCGCCGCGGCTCCGGCGTCGGCGGCTCCTCCGGCGTCGGCACCCATCGCCGCGCCGCCGTGGGGATCTTTTTCACTAGGAATTCCTAGCGGCGACCAGGGCTGCTCTTGCTCGTCGCGCCGCGCCGGCGCGTTCGTGATGTCGGCCAAGACCATCGTTTGTTCCGACGCGGCGCTCCGTAACTGATTCTTCACCCGGTCGAGCGCGGCACCGCCGGCTAGTTGCCCTTGGACGGGATGCGCGAGGTTACGCGGGCATCGCGGGGGCCCCTAGGGCCCCGCGGCGTCGACGATGGCGGCGACGAGCGCGTCGACGGTCGCCGGCTCGTGCTTGGCCGTGACGGCGACCTTGAGCGCGAGGGGCTTGGGCCGCATGGCCGGGAGCGCCGTGTTCTTCGTCGCGCGGCCGTAGACGGACTCGTCGTACTTGGACACGCAGCAGCAGAAGCCGCGGTCGATGAGCGCGTCGACGAGGTCCTCGAGCGCGCGGAGGTCCGCGCCAGGCTCCCGCGGCCGCGAGAGCTTGAGGAGCGCGAAGGGCACGTCGTTGGCGTCGTCGGAGACGAGCGTGAGCTTCGGGTGGGCCTTGGCCGCCGCGAAGACGAGGACGAGCTTCGTCTTGAGGCGCCACGCGTTCTCCCGGAGCCGCGCGAACGGCGGGTCCTTGGCGACGAGCGCGAGCGCCGCGAGCCCCGCGGCGCTGTAGAAGGGCGGCGCCGCCGCGGAGAAGCAGTAGCCCGCGCCGCTGAGCCGCTGGTGGTCGATGACCTCCTCCGTGCCCACGCAGAGGCCGCCCAAAGACCCAAAGGCCGGCGACATGTCGACGGTCGTGATCTCCACGGCTTTCGGGTCCGCGACGTCGAAGAGCTCCTTGATGCCCCGGCCCGTCGACCCGAGCACGCCGACGCTCAGCGACTCGTCGAGGATGAGGCGGTAGCCGTAGGCGTCCTTGAGCCGGAGCAGCTCGTCGAGCGGCGCGACGTCGCCGACGTCGCGAGAGACGGCCTCGCAGACGACGAAGCGGCGCTGCGTGCCCGGCGCGCGGCCCTTGGCCGCGTCGTCGGCGGCGACGGCCGCCAGCACCCGCTCGAGGTCGCCGGCGTCGTTGTGCTTGTAGGGCAGCACCGTGGCCCGCGACAGCACGCAGCCCGTGCGCAGCGGCTCGCAGACGCCGTCGTCGACGACGAGCAAGTCGCCGCGCTTCGCGAACGCCGCGACCGTCGACGTGCAGCAGCTCGCCGAGTCGCTGAAGGCGATGGCGCGCTCGACGCCCAAGAACGCCGCGACCTCGACCTCGAGCTGCTCGTGGACGTCGATGGACCCGTAGAAGCCGCGGGGGCCGCAGGACCCGCAGCCGTACTTGGTCAGCGCGGCGGCGGCCGCGTCGCGGACCTCGCGCGCGCCGGACATGCCCAGGAAGTCGAAGGACGCGCAATTTAATAGCTTCGTCGGCGCGGCCTCGGACCCGGAGAAGAGGCTCGCGAGGCCCGTCGACGACCGCCGCTTGCCCCGGAGCGTCACGAAGCCCCGGTCGTCCGCGGACTCGACGACCTTCCAGCGGCCCACGATCTCGCTCGCCGCGCCGCTCAGCGCGGGCACGAGGGGCTCGGGCTCCCAGTCGTCCACGAGCTCGTCGACCTCCCGCCGGCTCAGCTTCGGCGCCTTGGCGGCGCGGCGGCCGCAGAGGAAGAGGTACGCGAGGAAGCAGATGAGCACGGTCTCGATGAAGACGTGCTCGGGCGCGTCCTCGAGCAGGTGCGTCCACCAGGCCGCGTAGGCCGGCGCCGCGATGCGCGCCGCGGCGCGCAGCTCGCCGGCCTTGAGCGACGCGACGAAGGCCGCGCCGCTCGGGGGCGCCGCCGGCGACGCGGTCGTCGTCGTCGTCCGGCGCGCCCAGGGCGCCCGCGCCGAAGCGAGCGCGAGCGACGCGACGAGGAGCAGGCGGCGCATCTGAGCCGAGCGGTGCGGCGCGCGACGACACACCAAGCACACCCGTCAGCGCCACCTAGAGAACCGTGCCCCGCCAGCCGGGGGGTTTGCGGCCAGCCAGCCAGCCGGGTTTTGCGCCGGCAGACCCGCCAGCTCCTCGGTTCCCCGGCGGCCCACCGGCCGGCAGGCCAACCGGGCCAAAATCTCCGGCCGGCGGGCCGCAGGCCCGCCGGCCGGAGCCCAGCCGGGCTAGCGACCGATTTTCGGTTAGGCTGGTGCGGTTCGCGCGGTCCGGGCTCCGGACCGATGCCACGTCGGTCGTTTTGAGTCGTCTCTTCTCGTTCTTTCGACGGGTCGGAGCCCCCGGGGGGCAGGGGCGACTCGCCGCACAAAAAGACGCAGGAACCCCGACCGTCTACGGACCGGCGGGGCCCGTACTCGCGAACGGGCGGTATCTCCGGGCTCCGAACCGATGCCACGTCGGTCGTTTTGAGTCGTCTCTTCTCGTTCTTTCGACGGATCGGAGCCCCCCGGGGGCGTGGGCGACTCGCCGCACAAAAAGACGCGGGAACCCCGACCGTCTACGGACCGGCAGGGCCCGTATTCGCGAACGGGCCGTATCTCCGGGCTCCGAACCGATGCCACGTCGGTCGTTTCGAGTCGTCTCTCCTCGTTCTCTCGGCGGATCGAAGCCCCCCGGGGGCGTGGGCGACTAGCCGCACCAAATAACACAGGAATCTCGACCACCTACGGGTCGGCGGGGCCCCGAATCGAGTACGAGGCGGTTCTCGAGGCACGGAACCGGCCCTACGGCGGCAGTTTTGAGTCGAGAGGCTTCGACCGTGGGCTCTAGGAGGTTGGTTCCGTCGACGGGGCTGTCCGTGATGCCATCTAGCCATAGGTTTTTGGCACCAGAAGTGCCCGAAAAGCCGTATTCTTTGTTTCGAGGCCCATCGAGCGGCCGTAAAATAGGCATATTTTCGGCGAACCGGGTCGGCTAAAGTGGAAGTGCCGGCCTCGAGAGTTGCAACTAACATGTTCCTTGGGATCGAGACCGGTAGATTCACCATCGAGGGGTCTATTCGGAGCAGTTCCGGGCATCTACGCACCCAGACTGGGCCAAAATACGAAAATGTCGACTTAAAATGCGGATTTTATTCTAAATTGCGCAACTCTCTCGCGTTTGGGGTTGCCTTTTGTCCAACGCGTCCAGCGATACCGGGCTGACGACCGGAGGAGGCCGCCTTGAGGTCCTATACCAACATCCGACCCCTGGCGGACCCTTGCTAGCCAGGAAACTGGGGAATCTGGCCGGGGGTTCTGGGGATTTGGGCCAGTTGGGGGCTCCGGTAGGGGTCGGATGT